GCTGTGCTACGCTCCAGGACTGGTGAAAATATGGTTCAGGAGGAACTTCAGGAGGAAGTGGCCATCATCAAATGGTAGGATTCGACTCAAGCAGTTGAAGGAACATTAGTCAAGTCTCTGAAGGCAAACACAGCTCTGGCCATAAATATGTTATTGTTTATGTGCAATAGTTAACTACAGTGGCCTTACTTGATAAAATGTCCTTGCTTAATTATACTCTATGCTGTTAAAAGCCTAATGTCAAAAGTAAAAAAAAATTTAGATTTCAGATTCTGTACCATTATTGTAAGTTGGTGTAACTGAAAAAGGAAAGCAGAGTGTATATGTTAATTAAAAACTGAAACCAAATAAACTTAAATAATTTAGTCTGCACATGCTATTTTATAAGTGGTCTGGAACAATGTTACATAGCTGTTAAATAGGAAGAACCATATATAATTTATAGGGCCTGGGCTATCACAAATTATTGCTGTTGTGAGACAAACTGCATTTTTCCCCAGGAGGACTGTGTGTCATACAAATATGAGAACCAACTAAATATGTGATATAATATGTGCTCCTTGTACAGTTTTTCACTAGCTGTATCTAACAATTTTCCACAGTAAAATGGCAATTTACAATGACAAACTGAATCATGTCTACTATTTTTAATCTTTACTCGTCCATCATAATCACCATTTCATTCTTTCATCATGTTCAATCTTTCACTCCTCTCTGATACTACTGCAGACTCAAAAGAAGTCACAAAACCCAATTCTATTTAATCTACCTATGACAGATAAGTTGAAGGATGCATAAGCTTGCAGAATATATAATACCCCACCTGTTGGCATTTATTGTATGTATACGTTAACACTAGTCAGAAACTGTATTCATGCAAAGACGTGAATACAACTTTTGTTCAGGGTAATTATACTTATGCAGTCAAAGATGTCAGATAGCTTCTATATGTCATGCACATACCATACAAGTACTTGTATGGCCAGAGAAGAATACAGATTCTTCCACGATACAATTGAAAGGGAAAGGGGCTTATCATTTGTGATTATATTTTTTTTTTAAATTTTTGACAGCCTATTTCAACAGGCAGAAGATAAAGACTTGGTACTTTTGTTCATGATTCCTGGACTACATAATAGTTAAATTAAAAGCAAGACTTATGATGGGATGAGTTAACACTTAATTCTTTTTAATATGGGGTAGAACCAGGCTAGGGAGAGGAGAAACGTATTTTCTCACTTTTTTCTTTCACACTTACAATATACTTCAGCGGTCATGCTCCTAACCTTATCCTAATTACCTTATTAAAATACAACCATACCCACTATGGCTCACTTTAATGGTTATGGTGCCAGGCATGCTAAACAAATCTATCAATCCATTTTAGAAGAGTTTTGACAACTTAGTTGGTGATGCTGGGCGCATTTGGCCATAACTCTGCTTTCAGGTTCTCCAGGCAGCAGAAATCTGCTCTAACTGACACATTCAGCACAGATATATTTTGGGGTTTTTTTGGTTTCATTTAAAGAGATTGTTGCAGACCATGGACACCAAAAAAAAAAAAAAGCAGGTGCGCTCCAAAATACTCTCACATTCAGCTAAAAAAAAAATAATAAAAGTTGAGATAGAAAATTATAAACTTTATAAGCATAAACTTAGAAAAGTTAAGTATTTGCAGCCTCCAGCACAAAACTACCAAAGCAGTATATACATCAAAAGCATATAAAACACATGTTTAAATATATCAATGTGAGGAAACAAATTATATCATGCCACATAAACATAATAACTACAGAAGATGTAAGTAAATCCCCTAAGCCGAGTAGCTGCAGTATCAAGCACAGAAGCAGCACGTAGCAACTAAGATTGAGAAAAATGCAAAAAAAAAAGAAAAATTTGTTTTTTGTACAGTTTTTGCAATAATAATGTGTGCCTAATTAGTGCAGGTTAAAGAAATTCATTAAAAATAAATTCATTTAGTTGTTCTGATTTACAGAATATATAATGTGTCTGGGATTTTAAGTTTTTTTTGGTAGTTACAGGTCACAAAACACAAGGAGTAAAATAAACGTTTAATGTGGAGCGATTTTAGGTTTTGGTATGTTTGTCTTGTACGCGTAATAGCCATAAAAGAAAACAAAATTGGCACACAAACGTATATATTTATATAAAGTAGACATCACAGGCTATTGTCCCAATGTTGTTTTGACACTTTCTACGTAGCCATTTCACCGCCAATCTCTGCTAAATATTGGAGTAAAATTTATTTTTGGGGGGTTTTTGGCACACAAATTTATAACAAAGAACTTCTCATGTGTATTTTGTAAAGTTGGTGTGTGCTAGAAAAAGGTTTTTTTGGTTGTGGATATTGTCTGGCGTGTAAAAGAACAGGAAATAAAAAAAGGAAAATTACGCACTTTATGAGTAAAGATAAGAAAGAATACGAAATTAGAGATACAATTACATGTCACACAAACAATGTGATTTATGTAATGCAGTGCCCCTGTGGATTAAATTATGTGGGCAAAACCACTAGGCCACTCCATGTAAGAATTGAGGAACACAGCAGAAATATAATGAAGGGAGGAGAGAATCATAGTGTACCCCTCCATTACAAAATACACCATGACCAATCACCGTTAGGTAGCCTATTTTTAGGTTTAGGTAGAGTGGAAAAAGATTGGAGAGGGGGAGATTTTAATCAGAAATTGAGTAAGGAAGAGATGAAATGGATTTTTGAACTGAATACCCTTATCCCCTATGGTTTGAATTCGGAATTTGAAATTTGTCATTTTTTAAATTAATCAAGCTCTTATTATTATTTTTATAATAGCCCACGAATAATATAAGTCTATCACAGAATATATGGATTAGAGGTGGGAATTAATAAAATATTTAAATTAATACCATTTATATATTTCTTCTGTATAGGTAGTTTTTGAGAATCAAACATGGTTTTTAATAACATACCATCCTACATCAATTATATATTGTACAATAAGGTACATTGTCACAACATGAGACATACATTTTCTATTATATTATAATTGTTATTTTTTTCTAAATATTATGAAAATTATTAACTTGGTATGTACTGTATTCCATTTGAGAGATTGTTTTTATTTAGTTTTTATTGTGATTTTAGGTTTATATTTATTTACTTTTATGTGTATTAGTGCTATCACTATTTCTGGTTATAATACTGGATGCAGAGTGTGATTAGTGCGAAGGGGATTTTTATGCATATGTATTTTTTATAAGGGCTACTTTCTTCGCTATATTTCTACAACTTAGTTTTGGATACATATAACATTTTGATAAGGCAGCCATTTGATGAGAAACACAAGTGATGTCCTTGTAAGAGATGGAAACTTTGTTATGGACATGAACTGTACTTGGTACGAGAGACCAAGTACGGAGGAATTGCAGTGTGACGTCATATGCGGAAGTGAACCGCAATGAGAGAGAGGCTTGGAACGCACACAGTGTCGGCTAGCCGGAAGAAAGAATACCAGCGCGCCAAAAACGACAGCTGAACGCCGAGCCCAAAAGTTACAGACAAGATATAATAGCAGGACTTCTGTAAGTAGGAGAATTTGATTGTGATTTTTTCACCCAGCTGAGGAAGCCAATAGTAGTTTGGCGAAACGCGTCCTGGGGATTGTATTACATTGCCTTTATGCCCAGATTTTAATATTATTGTGTATTTATTATCTATACATTTTGTTTTAATAGATTCTAATTGGCCATTAGAATTTTTATACAATAAACATTTGTGTTATCTATACTGGGATATTGGTTCCTGCTATTAGGTGTGTAGTCCTCAACTACACAACGTGTTGGAAAAGAGCCTAAGAGAGTGGCTCCAGATTTGTGAGTATAATATATACATTTTCCTACACTATATACGGATTTGAAACTATATTGCACCATATATATCTCTGCTTGAGCCCTAGCTGCAACGGGGAATTTGTCACTTGGATAAAAGAAGGAGAAAGGTCGCCTTTACAGACCTGAAGGCGTATATCCCTGAGCTTGGTCGTAAGCTCAGTAATATGTGAGTGGTTCCATATATAGAGTTTATATTGCTTTTAATAATTTTGCTACAGTGTTGCACTAAGAGTATTTCAATTTCTTTTTTAGAGTAAGATCTATATACCACTCAGAAAAATATTGATTGACAAGAACGACAGTTATAAGAATTGGACTTCAATTTGTATGTAGCGCTTCACCTTTCGTTATTTTTGTTTTGTGGTTGGTGTATATGGAAAGATTACACATGGTGATATAGCAGCTTACATTATTGTTATATATATATATATATTATATATTGTGGAATTATTTAATTTTAGAGCGCCAGTATATTATTATTTTGTATTGGTGTGTGCTATTCCTGTACAAAGTTTTATTTTGTGTTCAGTTACTTCTGCTGAGTACAATGATACCCCCATTGTATGTCTTTGGCACTATTTCGTGAAGCTACAGTGCCAAATAGGAGACCTGTCCATTTCAACATTTACAGTAGAATTTTGAGAGGTGGATTTACTGGGCCTATGCTTCAATTTGGGGGATTATAGCAGTTTGACTGTCTTTTCTTGTTTATAAAAGAGTAGGAGAGCCATCTCTCCTAATAAACAGAGCAGGATTTGGCAGGATCACTTGGGTGTCTTATTCTGTTCTCTGAGCTTGTAGGCCGAGATCCAAATTCCAGTTGTCTGTTTTGCTGATCAGTAAGATTGGGGGACCCACTGTGAGGAGAAACACCTACAAGATCAGATTTTATTTTAGACACAAACCCCAGGGCAATCCTGCAGCATTCCTAAAATTAGGGAACAAAGTCAAATGCATTGACTTTTTTTTTTACATGATTGAATAATGAATATCTACAAAAATGTGGAAATCTAAAGGACAAATAGTAGACATTTTTTTTTTTTCAATTTGTAATTTTATTGAATTTTGCATAACAAATAGGATGCAGAAAGGAAGAAGGGTAGGGGGTAAAAGGTAAAAAAACACATGTCCATTCACGGTATCAGCTTATACCAGAGCCGGCGTGTTCTGATTTTACATTTAGTGACATTCCAGTCATATACAATACCCAATAGCATAGTTTTACAGGTATATGTGCTATGAGTGATATCCTGAGCGGTACTCTCAGGGTCTATGGTGCCTCTATGGTCTAATTGCAGGTGTGACTCCTGTCTGAAGGGCGCAGCTGCATGATTGTCTGCAAGCTGTTCCTCTACACGAGGTTGGTCGATTCGACCCCAAGCTCGAAAGCGGTCTATCTTTGGCCAGTATTGCTGCTATATATATGTGTACCTGCGCTGCCCTCTGTTATCGTGAGGTCCTCTAGGCTGCCCTCCCATTATACCTGGCTGTCTAATACCTGTGTGGGCTATGAGTCTTAGGCTATGGCTCCGATGGTGGATTGAAATTTATCAATTTTTGCCAATTAGTGTGTGTGGCATTCCTATGTTTAGGCGTAGCCGTAGACAATTGCTCGTACCTAAGATATTGTCATATTTTACTGTACAGTAGTTTTGACGATGGACATTCTTTTTGTTTCCAATGATATGCTAGGAGGTTACGTGCTGCCATGATTACAATTATCATTAGCTGTCTATCTGGGAAAGGGGTGTTTGTAGGTAATAGTAGAAACAGACCTATATCAGGTGTGATCTTTCCTTGGTGGACCCCCTGGGAGTTACATATTGTCTGGAAGACTGTCCACAACGGTTGTATATTCGGACAGTGCCACCATATGTGACTCATCGTACCTCTGTGCTGTTCACACCTCCAACATTGTGCTGAGGATCGTGGGTACATTTTGTTTAGTTTATCTGGTGGGAGCCTTTAGCGCTAAGATTGATCGTAACCACTGATCTTTTGTGAAGTGTGTTGTTTGGTAGGGGCATGATCGGACTATGTTATCTGTCCTATGCTTGTTTTCTGTACTATCGGAGTCAAGGAGTGAGGGATCAGGAATCTATCGATCCTAGAATATGAGTTATGCGCCTGGAAGTGAAAAGTTAAATCCTTTTCTGAAGTGTGGAGCACTCTCCGGATGTGCAGTAGGCCTGCTTTGTGGATGTTTTTTCTAACTTGGCTTGTCAGGACAGATCGTTTCTGAGCAGTGGTGTGTGACACTGTGGCGTCTGATGTTGTATCTAGGTTATGATCTAGGATAAAGTTTGTATCTCCCCCTATAATCAGTTTACCATACAGATGTGTTTGGGTGAGCAGAGTTATTTTGCCTAAGTATGTACTCTGGTTTTCGTGGGGACCGTAGACATTCAGAAGCATGTACGGTTCATTATTTATCTGACACTGTATTAAAAGGTATCTCCCTTCCTTGTCCCCTACTTTCTTATGAAGTGTGAAGGAGACGTCCTTGCTGATCAATATTGATACGCCTCTCTTCTTTTTTGCGTAGCCTACATGGTATCCAATAGGGTAGAATTTAGATGAAAATCTAGGCATTTGGTTTCTGAGAAAGTGTGTTCCTTGGTAGAAAGCTACGTGAACTACGTTTCTTTGCTTTCGGCTAGACCTAATCTCCTTTTATGTGGTGAATTGAGCCCTTTGGCGTTGAGGGAAAAGATTGTTAGAGCCATTTAGTTTGTGTATTGATGCTGTCCCTAACTCTTTTAGGTGTATATCACTCCAACTTGGAGGTCGTTAGTTTATACACATAACAATTTTGTGTCGGTTGTACAGTAAGAGTTGAGGAGCATTGTCTTGTCCTTAAATAAGGTAGAGGAAGTGTGTCAAGCACCTCATCAAGATATGAGAGTGTGTGGCACACAAAGGTCAGTTTGGTGGTTCCAGTTCCACCAGACAGGGCTTGTACCCGAAGTAAAGTATTAAACAAAAGTAAAGTAACTATATTAGAGACTCATAAAAATGAGGCTCAGAAGCTGGTTTTGATACAATAAACGGTGAAAAGCTTGATACATACAATGGTAGCTAAACCAACAGCACTGAATACTTGTGGCACAACAAATGAACCAACGGAGTATCAAAATTCTTCCAATAGGTATCTCCAAATATAGGATATTAAATTAAAATCAAAATACTTTATTATGTTCCAGAAAACAAAAAATAATAAAAATTACCATCAATGGAGTACCAAGGGAAAAAGATACAATATATCAAGAGGGGTAGATACTAAGGCTTAATTGGTTATGATTGATTCTCTAGGGAGCAAGGTGAATAAAGAATCCACCAAAATATAGGTGGTACACTTAGTTAGATTACTACAGTGTAAGACGTACACCCTAAATAACCTATAAAGAACACCTTCAGGGGTGTACTAAACTATCCCTACTAAGTCAGAAAAAATGTGTAAATTGAACAGCAATAGGGAAGGAGTGGAGAAAACGAAATATATATTCCCTGCAACTCCTAAAGAAACACCTTCAAGGGTGTTCTATGCTGTCCCTAAGTACAAAGAGGGAAGAATAGCATCAATCAGCCTCTCTATAGTAGTAACCCTTCTAAATGGCGTCCATCAGTGCTGTTTGGACAAAAAACATAGGTGAAACAAAAATTAAACACCTAGTGTTCCCATAGTGACCTGAAGTGTTAAGTGAATTAAAAATAAAATAAATGAAAAAATAACCCGACGCGGGTTTTCGGTGCGTCTAATGCACCTTCGTCAGGGGCTAACATTACCTCATCCATGGAGTGGCTTTTAAAGCCCTCTTTTGCTGCCCAAAATGATAGTATTCCCAAAATTACCGAATCCGTCGGCAGGTGTGTGTATGGGCGTGACATAGGCAGAAACAGGCAGGGCGGACGTCCGCCAATCAGCTATAGACGTTCGTATGATGTCTATACACATGCCCAGCCCCACGTGGATACAGGGAGGCGGGGTCTGAGGGCGGAGAGGGGAGGGGGAGAATCACAGAGGAAAACTCCTCCCTCCCATTCTCCGTCTATTCGGAATGTGTATATTGTATTATGGGCGGAGATGTAAGCCGTGAGTGACGGCTAGATGACTCCTCACGGCTGGCATCAACATCATGTATCATTAAAAGGATTTTCGATAGTATAAGGGTAATAATACCCTTTTAGTAAATCATTCAGGGGGAATGATGAGTGATACATGATGTGAAAGTAAATAGTATAGAATAGATCTCAGATAGAATATGTATTGTGCATACCCTCCAAAGTTTAAAGTTATAACTTAATGTGATGAAGGAATAGATGAAAAAAATAGATGAGTAAAATGTCTCACTTTGATCTCAATTTGAGAAATAAACCTATGCTTACATCTCATGTCTCAATGCAAATATGATAATTAAAGATCCATTCTTTTGCCAAAGAAAGATAATAAACTTATGAGGACAAGAATGTCTCACTGGCCAAAGAATGTCAGAATAGAGATGATTATAGTGCATATAGTTAGACAACTCGAGATAAGATGCCCGAATGGAGGTGTCCTTCCGTCTTTTAAAAGGTATAAGAGGTCTGTTAAATAAACATACACATAGAATAAATTAGTTAACATAAAGAAAGGCAAAAAGTTTCATCATCATGTAAGTTGTAAATAGATTTTCATTAAGAATCGTATATATTGTATAGATGGTATTATATTAATCAGAGATCACTAATACAAGGAGAGTAGGAAAATCCTTAATTTAGCCCACTCGGTGATAGAGTGCTCAGACGGTAAATCCAAAAGCACTCTCTTCTCCTGAGGAGCTTATCGAGGTTTCCCCTCCTCTGGTCAAGTTTGACCAGTTCAATCCCAAGAAATTGGAGTACTCTGTAGTCACCTTGGTGAAAATTCTTCACATGTCTAGAGACTGTGGTTTCGATATGTCTCTTGGTTTTAATGGAATTTATGTGTTCCATTGGTGTGTAAAGAAATTGACTCCTTGTCACCCTCAAAATATTTAGTTTTCTCCACTCCTTCCCTATTGCTGTTCAATTTACACATTTTTTCTGACTTAGTAGGGATAGTTTAGTACACCCTTGAAGGTGTTCTTTATAGGTTATTTAGGGTGTACGTCTTACACTGTAGTAATCTATCTAAGTGTACCACCTATATATTGGTGGATTCTTTATTCACCTTGCTCCCTGGAGAATCAATCATAACCAATTAAGCCTTAGTATCTACCCCTCTTGATATATTGTATCTTTTTCCCTTGGTTCTACATTGATGGTAATTTTTATTTTTTGATTATAATTTAATATCCTATATTTGGAGATACCTACTGGAAGAATTTTGATACTCCATTGGTTCATTTGTTGTGCCACAAGTACTCAGTGCTGTTGATTTAGTTACCATTGTATGTATTAAGCTTTTCACCGTTTATTGTATCAAAACCAGCTTCTGAGCCTCATTTTTATGAGTCTCTAATATAGTTACTTTACTTTTGTTTGTCTTGTCCTTTCCTGTGAATTTACCTGACCAGTCAGATAGTTTTCTTGTGGGTGCCATGAAATAGGTGACCCGTGAGCAGGGGGGAGGGGTAGAGGGGTAAACAGCCAAGTGGCAACTTTGTACAACATGGAGTACAGACGTTTTCCGTCTGTTACTGAGAAATGATCTTGCGGCTCTATGGAGCCAAAGTGGGGGAGGGTGTTTGTGAGGTTTGAAAAACTGCCAAATACCCTTGTGGTATTACATGCTCTTAAGGCAGTCTGGGATCTAGAATGTTAGGCCGTTTGACTACGTTCGGTTCTACGTGTACATGTAGCATTCCTGTCTGGTAATTTAACAGTAAAACATATTTATCAACCCATAACAAAACATCAGATACATTCAGGTATATATGCTCACGTATCTCTATGACTGTGAACCAGGTCCATGTCAGAGAACGGCAACCAAAATTTTTAACTCAGTTTCTGTCACTTGTGTTTAGACATAGATATCCAGTCTTTGGACACTTTTGTAGATGACTTGCGGTGTTTGTCAGGCGGGTCTGCCTTGTCCTGGGATGCAACGGACAGGTTCCAGTCCTTCAGCAATTGGACGCCTTCTCTGACGGTATGAATTTGATGCTCCACTCTGTTTCTTTTGACAATGATCTGAGTGGGGTAGCCCCATTTGTATGGTATGTCAGCATCCCTTAACGCTTTGGTGAATGGTGCCATATCTCTGCGTTTAGCCTGTGTCATGCCGACAAATCTGTGAAGAGTTGTATGCCAGCATATTCACTTGGGATGTTATCTTTATTCCTTGCCCTTCTCATGCCGCTTTTTTTGGATGTGAAGTAATGTACTCTAGTAAGTACGTCTCTAGGCATGGAGACTGAAATGAACCGTGGCCTGGGAAGCCTGTGAATACGATCCAGGCGTAGATTTGCCTCTGTGAGAACTGGGCATAGTGTTTTGAACATATTTATGGTGAAGTCCTGCAGTTCCGATGGTTTGATATCTGGGATGCAGCGCAGGCGTATGTTGTTTCTTCTGTGGCGGTCTTCATGATCCGCTACTTTTGCACTCAATGCCTCAATTTTAGCCCCAAGGGAGTCATAGGCCTCTGCTAGGTTGTTATGGGCCTCTATGATTTCCTCAGTTTTATCTTCCAATATAGTTGTACGCTCCCCTATGGCTTTAATGTTGGCCCTAAGATCACTGGCAAGCTTGCTGAATTCTGTTTGCAGGTTGTGTTGCAGCTCCTGCAGCATTCTGTGTAATGAGGATTCAGAAGCTGGCGCTGAATTCCCCAGTGAGATAGAGGTGCTGTTGCTCCGATCGGAGCACGCTGCTGGGCGGTGTGAGAGTTTTGATTTGCAGCTTCGCCGGGCATAGTTTTTGCTTTTTTCGCCCTCCGTAAGGACATTGTTGGTTTGTGCAGCTTACTGCTCTATTTTGGTACCGGGTAAGGCTGTTTATGCTCATTTACTTGCGTTTTTGATGGTCACCCTCGTCGGAGCTGGGAGCTGACGCGTCCATGTTCGCGTGCTGCCAGGCCACGCCAGTAGACATTTTTTAAAAGATTGTGTTACAGGAAAAGTATGAGATGACTTCATAGACAAAGCATTTCATTATGGTGTGATCTAAAAGTGTGTCAAACTTCATGTTTCTATTATCAATCGCAAAAATGGAAAAGGTACTGCACTCAATTCACTAAAAACAGGGTGCTTAGCTGAACCAAGGACCAGCACAAGCCCAGAAGATAATAAATAGCAGTATTACAAAAAGGGTCCAGGCACTTCAATGTCTTCAGGCACCTTTACTGGAACATGTGGAACACTGCAACGTTTCGACTCCCAATGCTTGACAAAGACTCCATTGGGAGTCAAAACATTGCAGTGTTCCACTTGTTCTAATAAAGGTGCCTGAAGACATTGGAGTGCCTAGACCCTTTTTCTAATACTGGTTTCTATTATCAGTAGCACAATTGTTTTGCCTATCTGCAGTACTATGAAAGACATTCAACAGCATTTGCAGTACGAATTAGGATTTTCTGTGAAACGTAAACTGTGCTCTGCTGACATCTAGTGGATTCTTCATTGTATAACAACAAAGGAGACTTTCAAAATACCAAATGTACACGTTTATTCATCCAAAATATGTGGATCAGTCTTGGTATTACTATTTCATATAACGCCTTTTCTAGATATGGTCAGCCAGGGTAACCACAGAAATGATGTGTGCACGTAGATCTGACTTGTTCCAGAATGATTTGCACTTGATGAAATATGCTGTTTAATTATTTACACATAGACAGGTGTGAGGATCACCCTGATCTCTAAAGAACAAAAGAGATAAATATATATGCTTTAAAATAAAGATAACATATTTTAATACTCATTTATAATATATAGTGCTTGTTTATTATCCAGGGAACAATAGCAGACTATATACAGGAATATACAGGAACAATTACATTAAAACTAATGTAAGTACCAAAATATTCCATATTATCCCTTATGATTTGGGGGGATATTCTAAAGGGATTATTTACTAAAATTAGACTTGTTAGGTATTTAAAGTGAATTCACCATGATATTAAAATTTAAGGCAAAATAGCTGAACTGGAAGCATAGCTGACTTGCTTACTTTGGCCTTAAATACTCAATTCAATTTGAATTCACTATAAATTTGAGTTTTCATTTTAGTTATAATCATTTATTAAAGCCTTAATTTGAAATTTTAATATCAATTCATTGCAGTTTGGAGTTCTGTAAAAAAAAAAATCGATTCTTTACTGAACAGTGAAGTGTGCTGAATTGAAAGCTGAATTAAAAATACTATTGCCCAGCAATAATATTCTGCTGCAGGAGTTTGAAGATCATGTATAAATATTGTCACATGATGTTGGGTTCAGTCAATTTCTAGCAGGAAATTATCAAAATTAAAGAACAGAAATCATAAATAATAAATAATAAAATAGGGATATCTGACAACAAGTAATTTACGTGCAGAATATAACAGAGGCAAAAGGTGAAGAAGGTGCTGCTCAAATACACTGATCAGCTAAAACATTAACATCACCTGCATAGATCCCCCTCGTTCTGCTAAATCTTCTCTGATGCGTTGAGGCATGGACTCCACAAGACCTTGGAACATGTAGTAGCAGGTCCTTTCAGTCCTTCAAATTTTGAGGGGAAGCCTCCATGGATTGGATTTGTTGCACATTCCACAGATGCTCATTTGAATTGAGATATGGAGAATGTGGAGGCCAATGCAACACCTGGAACTCTTTGTCATGTACCTTAAACCATTCCTGAGCAATTCTTGCAGTGTGGCAGGGTGCATTATCCTGCTGAAAAAGACCAATGCCATCAGGGAACATGTCAATGTGTTACATGTCAAAGTAAAGAATGCCAGGACTTAAGGTTTCAAAGCAGAACATTGCCCTAGTGATCAGCCTCCGCCGGCCTACCTTATTTCCATTATGCATCCTGTTGCCATCTCTTCCTCAAGTAAATGATGGACATGCACCTGGTCATCCACCTGATCTAAAACAAAATATGATTCATCAGACCAATTAAGCTTCTTTCATTGCTCCATAGTCGAGTTCTGATGCTTATGTCCCCATTAAAGGCACTTTCTGCAGTGAACAGTGGTCACCACAGGCACTCTGACCAATGCGACTACGCAGCCCCATGCACAGCAAACTACGATGTACTGTGTGTTTTCTTTTTTTAATTTTCTGTTTTATTGAGGTAAAGATTTCACCATACAGGTGAGTCAAAGAATGCAGAAATATCAGTGGTTGACAATCCACAAGTGTACAGTAAGCGCATTCAGATTCAGTATACCTCCTTTTTTTTTTAAATTAGAAGAATTCAGATACATATTATAGGAGACAGGTATTATATTAGGCAATGACAAGATGAGACAAAATGAGAAGCTAAGTCGATTGATTCTTATTATGTTTATTTCCCATTGGTCAGTCTGTGTGAGATAAATCCCACTCCTACAAGAGATGCATCATAATGCAAATTTTAATAAGTGTTGCATAACCCCAACAGATCTCCTGGTTAGCTCATCACTTTGGCTTAACAGGGGTGTCTTGAATAAATAGCGTAGCACATGCTTATATTTGACAATATATATTAGATCTTATAGGTGATCATGGTTGGCTACCGCCATGCCGAGTGTGAATATTATAGGTAGAGAGTTGTGACCACAGTCTATGGGTCTTAACCCAAAGTGAGGATGCAAGAGATGTGCTCAGACGTGTCAAGGTAGAATGACGACCCCTAACCATGGAAGACACGGGGGGCGGGGGGATGTTAAGTCATGGAAAAGTGTAACCCTCTTTCTGTAAATAAGGGTCTGCTTTAAGGAACAAAAAACCACCAATGCAAACTAGAGTTCCTGACTACCTATTGTGTTCCAAATGTGTAGGTACTAGCAATTTTAAAACTTTCGAACTAAGGAAAAACAACATAAAAACAAATATACAAAACATTATGCTTGCTCCGGGATATCATCCCAGGTTGGTGTCCCTTGCTTCTCTCCACTAATAAGAGTGAAAGGTACTATTCTCTCTAGATCCCATATGCGTGAAGTAGAGGGGGTCGTGGGTGTTATCGGTCTTGTGGGAATGCCCAGTGCTTGGAAAAAAGAGTCAGTCTCTGCCAGTGAGGTAAGTCTCAATGGAATACCCTCATTGATTACCGTTACGGCTCTTGTCAGGGTCCATCAGTAATCAATGCTTGCTGCACGTAATTTACTTGTCACTGGTCCTAATGATCAGATTGATTAATAATATGCCTATGTCAAGCTAAGCTTGTAAAACTGGTGTGTGGAACAAATCTAACAGTGGTAGGAGAGAGTGAGCTGGGCTAATGAAGCGAGGGAACTCATGAAGGCAGTGAAATGAGAGAAGCATTATCCAGGAAGATTGCAAGCTTTTCTAAAAATGTGTGTTTTCAGTGACTTCCTAATGTGCTGTAGGCTAGGGGAGAGTGATGGTGCGAGGTAGAAAATTCCAAAGGAAAGTGGCAGCCCTTGAAAAATCCTGCATATGAGAGTTAGCAGTGTGGGAATGAGCAGATGTAAGAAGAAGGTAATTTGCAGGTCAAAGGGAATGAGGATGTATTTGTTGAGTAAAGAGGAAATGCAATGAGGAGTGAAGTAGTGGTGGCCCTGATAATATTTATAAGTGTAATTGTATGTGCGCTGTAACTTAATTTGTATTATGTTGCAGGATTTGGAGGCAGGCTGGGTGTGAGGAGAAAAGGAGTAACACCAAGGCAGTGAGCTTGAGGTATTGAGTCAATAAGGGTCCCTTTGATGTACAGGGAGATTGAAGGTGGAGGACTATTTTCGGGTAGAAAGATGAGGTGTTCAGTTTTATAAAGATTACATTTCAGAAAACAACTAGACATTAACTTTGTGGAGGAAAAGGGGCAGTGTGTGACACCTTCCAGGATGTCAGAAGAGAGGTTAGGGGAGAAGAGGTAGATCTGAGTATTGCCAGCATATAGAAGGTAATGAAATCTAAATGAGTGAATAAGTTACTGAGAGAGGCATTATAAATGGAGAATAAAAGACGACCAAGAACAGAGCCTTGGGGAACACCAACTGAAACAGGCAGTGGGGAGGAAGTGGCACCAGAGAAGGAGACACTAAATGAAGGTTCAGAAAGTAGCATGAGGAAAGTACAGTATCACAAAGTACAAGGTTGTGGAGGGTATGAAGAAGAAAAAGAAAATTGTCAACACTATCAAATGCAGGAGAGAGGTCAAGAAGAATTTAAAGGGGACCTTTGCCCCAAACAACTTATGCTTATTAGATTGTGCGTAAAATTTGATCTGTACATTTTGCTAGCAGTTTTCTAGCATATGTATAGCTTAGAAGAACAAAACTGTAAAAAATAGATTTTACTCCCAATTCGTAGTCAATGCTGGCATGCTGAGGCATTGACTGACAAGGGAGAGCAGAATAGGGCAAAAAAATATATCCCACAATAAGTCCATCTCCTCTCCACCCATAGCAACCACAGCACGCAGGCAGAGCGAAAGATGACCTGGAGGTGGGTGTTACATGAATAGACCCACAAAGCAATGATTGAACTGAGGAAAGGTGAGTAAATCACTGTTGTACATTGAATATGCCATGTATCTTTGTGATATATGGTACATTTGATATATGAGAGCAATTTCAGGTAAATTATTTTTTTCACAAGTTCCCTTTAAGAGAGAGTAATGGCATTTAGATTTAGCAGTGGGTCCGGTCCTATTGTGTATTATACCCCAGCTCCTATAGACTGTAAGCTCGTTTGAGCAGGGTCATTTTGAACCTAGCATTCCTGTAAGTTGCAATTTTCCTATTTGTAGTTAAAAGTCCCCACCCCCCCCGGGACAGACCTCCCACAATTCTCTATCTGGACCCCTAGGGACAGGCGGTGTTGACCTCCCTCCGGGTTTGGGACAAATGTGCCACGAAATACAACCTCACAATGTCACACATGATGCCCATACTACATAACAGAGCATTCCTACCTGAAATAAGACCTAGAGACTTCAAGAGACTGGAGTACACGGGGCTACAGAGACCACACCACCTATACATAGGAGACGATATCTTTATGTATGACGAACTCAAACATAATACAAATCTAAAATCCTCAGACTACTTTAGGTACCTGCAGGTTAGGGACTTCGCCCAAACCCTGAATGTCAAAAAAGCAGCCAGCGCACAGCCAACGTTCTTTGAAAAGATATGCGATGCAGAGACCTTATCACTAGACTATACTCCCACTTATGCGCCAACACTACAGAATGGGGGGGCCTGAGATACACTGACCTGTGGAAATCAGACCTGGCAGAGACATTGGAGGGGACTGACTGGCAAGACATCTGGGAGGCTAATGGTCGGACCTCGCTGTGTGTCATGATGCAAGAACAATCGTACAAAATGATGTTCAGATGGTACACTACCCTGGTCCAGCTCTATCACATGCGTAAAACACAGACAGACCAATGTTGAAGACTATGCGTACATAGAGGTATGTACAAACACATGTGGTGGGATTGTCCCCGGATTAAATGCTGTGGGGAAAGGTCACAGACCTCATAGTGAAGGTATTCCAGAGACCCTAGACACTTGACCCTTGGGTGGTGCTACTGTCTAGGCCACCAGACGGCTGGACTAGACCAGAACAAAAACTGATCCACAAAATTGCACTGGCTGCTCTAAGATGTGGGGAAAGGTCACAGACCTCATAGTGAAGGTATTCCAGAGACCCTAGACACTTGACCCTTGGGTGGTGCTACTGTCTAGGCCACCAGACGGCTGGACTAGACCAGAACAAAAACTGATCCACAAAATTGCACTGGCTGCTCTAAGATCCATAGCTCAATCCAGGCTGGAATCCGAGGTGCCATCCATCGACCTAAACTAAAAGACACATATTTAATGGATAAACTAACCGCCCAAGTCTGGGGCACACTAAAAGCTTCAGAAAGGTCTGGGAGCCGTGGAAGGCCTACCTCGAGGGGACAACCTGACTTGACCACTGCTGTGGGGGTTACATGGGCGCCGTCCCTTGCCTCGGCCCTCCTTGCCTATCCAGCTCTGTGCTGAACCCAACTCCCTCACCCTCTTTCCTACCCCCTCCTATTCCTATCCCCTATCCTATAGGGACTGCAAGTGGTTTACCACAGACGAGGCTGGAGCTCCCCAGCCACATTCGATGGCTAGCAACCTCCATGCACTTGGCCCCAAACAGTCTCGCACCCACCGCAACACTGCACTCAAGTACTTCCTCCTCCATGAATCACTGTATATTTGCAGAGTACCTAGCGGAACCCATGTCTCACCAATGTTGCCAATGCTGATTCTACTATGGTCAAACTACTGCTTATGTTTGTTGCATACCACTGTATATGTCACTGTCTACCACTCAAACACAAATAAAGAAGGTTAAAAAAAATAAGAAATCTCCCTTCCCTTATAATATTGCAAAAGGCAACGAAATTTGTTAGCGCTATATAAATGGCAATAATAATAATAATTAAGTCATAACTCACTATGATAAGGGTTTTTTTAATGTGATTTGTTATGAAAAGCAAAATGTATAGCTCCTAAATTCAGTGGTATCAGTAATAGCTTGTTGCAATCATAACTACCAATGCAATTCAAATAGTGGATTAGGAATTAAAAAGGGACCTAAGCTAGACATAAGCCTATAGTGAAGAAAAAAAAAATCAGTCTGAGATTTGAATAGGGATAATTTACGT